GCCCACCGGCTTCCCCAGCGCCCCCCGCCGGGCAACCCCCCTCGCCTCCTCCCCTCAGCCACCGGTGTGTCCGCTGGGCGCCTGGTGCCTGTCACCCTGCCGACACTTGCAGGTCCCCAAAGCAGGGCCCAGCCGCTGACACAGGCCCGGCTCAGCTCAAACCGCGGCGGTCCAGCCCCGCACCTCCACACCTCAGCACCCTGCCTCGCACCGCCCTCGTCCGGCGTGAGGCACAGCGCTGATTAATGCCGAAATTGCACACCTGCAAGACACGGGCACTTGGGAATCTGGAGTCACGGTCCCGAAGTCCCGTACCTGCTGTACCAGCCGTGATTTTTTACAGAAACACAGAAAACCACTTTGCAAACTCTCGTTTCAGCAATTCCAATTGTTTGGTCTCCCCCTGCAGCCATAAGGCTCACGTTTCTTTCTTTTTTGCTTGATTGCTTGTAAAAATGGTGACACGACATCCTGGCTGAATGACTTGGGAAATCACCACATAAGAAAAAAAAAGATTTAGTAAAAACTGCAAAAATCGGCAACACTGCCTCCACACCCCAAATTGAATGTTTCCCCCCATCCCTGGTACACATACCCACACAAATTACAAGAGTACTCTTAAAAGTGGTTAACAACTCCCCTGGCTGAGAGACCACCACACCCACTTTTGATTTTACAAATACTCAGAAAAAACAGAATCATGACCGAGGTTTTCACGTCTCTGAGGACTTCTGGGGAACGATCCCAACCAATTCCTCTCCCAGAGCAGCCAGGAAGCATTTTTGCAGTAAGGTAAGAAGCTAGGATGGCAAAGGTGAAAGCAGTGATATAAGAAACTTCTCTGACTCAGTGTGACAAAATAAAATGTTTTATTTTAAAAAATAATTAGAAATTATACTTAATTAAGAAACCTCTGCCTATATGCCCCACCTTTCCAGATCATGGAACTGTCTCAAAACACCTCATAATGTAACTGTCTGCAAGGACGTATTTTGGGATCTGACTGGGATTTACGCTAGACTCTAAAATATTTAACATCTTTATCGATGGCCTGGAAGAAAGCAGAGTATTGCTGATAAACTTCACAGATGACACGAGGCCTGAGGGAAGGGTAAATAATGACATGGAGAGGGCACTGGTACAGGGTGACCTGATCATTTGGCAGCTGGGGGCAAGCAAACATGCATTTCAATAAGGTCATCGATGAGCTCATTCATTTAAGAGCAAAGAGTGGAGGCTATACTTACCTGACATAAAACTTTATCCTGGGAAGCACAAAACGAAAAGGACAAATGGGTCACGGTGGCTTACCAACTGCCAAGATGGTGCTGTGGCCAAAAAACCCAACTTTCCTGCAACCTCAGAAGTATAAACAGAGAAATCGCAAGGAGGAAAGAAGTTGTATTACATCTAGAGTTGCTGCTGGCTGCTGAAATAGCTTGTCTAGTTTTGACATGTTGATAAAGTAGAGAGAAACCTGAAAAGGGACATGAAAATCACTGAGAAAACCTCTCTCAGTGAAATATATCACAGAAGGTCAGTCAATTTAATTCACTGAAGAGAGAGCTAAGGATTTGCAAGACCATAAAATACATGTAATGGCAATAGGGACCAAAAAAATCAGTAATAGTTTTTTCAGTATACCTGGCAAAACTATCAGAAGTTGAAGCTAGAACACTTTAAAAGGAAAAAAAACCCCAAAATCCCTCTGTATTCCAAGCCACAGGATAAGCGGAATTGGAACTGTTCACTGTAAATAGTAGTGAATTATCTAACACTGGCAAGTTTATAGGTTTTTCTGCTCAAAGATCTAATTTCGTAAAAATGAGAATCAATTCTGGAAAATTTTGCAGCCATTGCTACTTCCATTATTGAATTAGACTACATTGGCCTCTTCTTCTTCATAATCTGCCCTGATCAATATGATGTGTGCAGCTGCTCGAAAACAGCCAGAGGGAAGAGATGTGTTTTCATTTTATTTAATATCAAATACCCTCTACAGATTTCACCTGGATTTTTTTTTTCCTGGAAAAATACCTCTCCGTATAATAAGAGTAACCCAATAAAAATGTTACAAATGAACGCACGGAGTCATTCATCGCTAACACCTGTCTTTTTCGTTTTCTCTCCTTTTCACACCTCCTCAGTGTGCCTCAGCAAAACCACTGGTTGATCTGTTTAGCTACAAAACAGGAGCATTTAGGAAGCTTTTCAAAGTAAAAGTTTGCTTTACCGTGCAGAAACTGTGGCAGTTTGCACATGAAAGCACGAAGGGAGTAACGCTGATGGCAGTAGCTTAAACGCTGTTCCTGCTTTTTGCAAAACTGAAGTTTCTTTGATAGCAGACCTGGATCATGTGCATTAGTTAGTACCTCTAACAGAAGTTCTCAGGCACTGACAGAGAGTTTAACATCAGAGTGCTGCAAACAAAACAAACAAACAAACCCCTAGCATGTTGCAAAAAATTCGTGTCATACAAAATTTTAGCTCTCACAGTCTAAGGAAATATGTAAACATTTGTAGGAGGCAGCACGATCTGTATTAAATGAAGTTGATACAGGATGAGAAATGAGATGAGAAATGAAAAAACCTTCTTCATATATCACATTCGCTTCAGGAGTTATCAATTCAGACCTGAAAAAGGTGTTCAAAAGTCTGCCCGTTTCTTCCAATACTACTAGTTAATGTGCTACAAGATATTGCCTCTCCCAATTTTTAGCTTTAGTTTTTGTGTTTTAGGCACCATCTACGAGCATTTCACATAGCCAGAATGAGCAGAAAATCCCATGGATTCCCCTCAGACCTCTTTATCCAGTCTCCCTGGTTTTATTTCTGCCTTCTGTATTTTTCTATCCGTGGCACAGAACACGGTAGGCTAAGAAAACCCTACCCTAATTATAATTTTCACAGAGAGAAGACCTTCTAGATGTGCTTCTTCCAAATATGATGAATAGCACAGGTTTGCTTTAATGATACCCACTTATCCTCTAAGTCAGCGGTCTCCAAACCTTTTTATCATGCACCCCATCAGTAAAAACTTTTTGAGCATGCACCCCTATTATATGTTTTTTGGGTTTTTTAAATTATATACATATACTACTGTACTAATATATTATGTACATTATAAAACATACACAAAAATATAAATTAAAAAAGGATGAGATAAAGAGGAAATAAACACTATTTTAAAAATATTTATTTTATTAAGCATACAAAAAATATTTTCTTCCCGCACCGCACTTTGTAGACCACTGCTCTCAGTATGAAACTATTTCCACCTATCCCGATGCATTATTTCAGTGCCCACAATTTTACCTAAATCAGTTCTACCCTCTCCCCTTTGTTCAGGGGTGAAACTTCTGTTGGTTAGCATTCACCTGGTTACCTCTGAGCCTGCATTCACCTAGATTATAGCATAGTAGGGCAGTTTCAGCCAATTTGGTGGGGTTTGTTGGTTGTTTTTTTTTAATTTGGTCTGCAAATCTCTATTCCTTGCAGAAGGTTTTTGAAGCACAATCATTTAGAAACTACTACACTTTCTTTCACAACGAAATGAACCTCTGTTCCTTCTCAGCATTTAACATCATTAATAGTTTACAGATACGTTGCTTATTTTATCTAGACGCCTGTGCTTATATAAAAGCACATGTACAAGTTCAAACAAAACCACATTTAAACTATCAGTAAAATAGAGAATGTAAAAAAATCCAAAAAACCCCCAAACCCACACCTCGCTACCAGAAAAGCTTCAATTGCAGAAATTTGTAAGGGGGGGTATATGTAACAAACGAAGTCAACAACCCTGCATACTTCCTGTGCAGATAGTTCTGCTGTGCATCTCTCTTACTGATTTTGCCACAAAATTAGAAGGCTACCATAAAACATGTATCACAAGCATTACAGAACTGTGACCGAAGACATGAAATCTTTTCCCTTGCTACTGTTGGAAATACCTCAGCATTTCCTATGAGGAAGATTTAAGGAATGGTACGAACACTGACACGACAAACTTCACAAGTGCAGTGGAGAAAGGCAGGACCGTCAGAGGAACACACGCTCTAAAGCAGAACTGGCCAAATGCACAGCCATGATTACAGTACCTGCCGTGAGCGCGTGGTTACAAAAGCTTTAGGTTCATTCTCAGGTTCAAAACTACTCAGCACCTCGCGGCTGCATTTTTTCACAGCTGTGTCAAGGGCTGGATAAGACGGGTAC